GTAATATTTCCCCCGATACGCGCCACCCACGTGGAAACGATACAGACGCGGAGGTGAGAATCCGATAAAGAGAGACGACGATCGGGAAAAGCGTTTTGTTCGTCTTCGCACGATCGCGCGCCGCCCTTCTCGTCGCGTTTAATACAATCAACATTCGATACGGAACGCGCGCGCGCGCAATCTAACACTCCTCGCCCCGCTTCGGATGACGCAGGGAATATGTCGTTACAATACGATCGAACACGTTATTCGCGCGCCATCGACGATCTCGGCGGACGTTGAAATATCAATGTTCACCAATATATTGCGGTGACTTTACGAAATTATTTGACAGCGCACAGAGCAAGAAAGATGATGATTATTTTGTCTAGTGGAGGTAGAGCGTGTACGCGCGCGCGCACACGCACACAAGTGTGCGAGTATTATACGTTAAGATATACGTCGCGCTACAAATTAGCGTCTTAAAAAGTGTTTCTTTTAACAAAAAAATGAAATGACAACATTAAACGGAGGAACTTCCTGCCCGTAATCGTCAGTTTCTACATTTATTTCAATCTTCCACGCATTAAGTTATTTTTCTCACGTAAAACGTATAATGCGAGCTAATTTATCAGTCGTTCATATTTCATAAACTCTCTATTCTGTGATAAGATTACTCAAAACCATCGAGCTAACCCACTACGAAAGGAACGAAGTAAAAGAACAAAAAATTTTACCGTCAGTCTCTAAGACTGATTAATCGCTACCGTAAATCTCAACTAATTATTTGGGTATATCCGTTACAAAACACTATGTTTTTGTGACAAATGTTGTCATAGCACGTGCATTTACGAGCGCGACGTCTGTTCGAACGATTATGTAAATGATAAACAAAAAACGTAGGTCATTGACCGCGGCGTTGATTCGCAGTAAAAATGACTTTATTTTCAACGTTCGTCGACATACAATTATTTACCTACTAGAAAGTAAAAAAAAAAATTCGGAAGTTTGTCCAATTATAACGTGCGTTTTTTAGTTGACCGAGCGATTCCTCGTGATAATAACAATTTTTTTTCCCCCGTCGAATTTCGACGGCTGATTCTCGCGATAGGATAAAGTTGTAAAACGTATTAAGCGATAACCGACCGGCGAAGGGAGTCCGAGTTGGCTTTATCGAATATTTTGAGTGATTTACGAGCCTGGGCACGCCTTCTCATTTTCACTTTTGTACGCGGGCACGCACCGCGCAATTAGCAATCAACCCTGTAATTACGATAACGTCACTGCACGCGCGCGCAGGGTTAATTGTTAAAAGATTTAGGAGACGAGCGCGGATCTAGATCGAGCGTCGGCTTTCTCTCGTAGAAACGAATTTTTTTCTAGCCTCATAAACACGACGTAATTGTAAAAATGTTAATAATAATCTAACATTCACGATGAAATAATTCTAAATTTTCGCGATAAAAACTTACTCGGTACATCAAAGAGTATCCTTCTAACGGTCGACGCGGATCTTACGAAACGTCCTCTGTTTTCGAACAAGTAGGTGTCAATACGAGACAAGTGCAAGGTCTGGCAACAGTTTTCAGATAAATTACGCGGCGGAGAGAGGCGTTTTCCTTTGTGGCTTTCTCGCCGTCGTAACTGCTCTCAACGGGGTGTGTTCTCGTGAGAAATTCGGTCGAGATATCCGTACCGACCACCCATCGCGAGCGTGGCAGGGAAAGCGAATTAAGTCACAATGCCGCCCATAAGATTTGGAAATAGCGAAAGAATGGACGGGCGCTGTTCTCTCGCCCTCGATCGCTTTTATTAAAAAGAGAGTTCCTTCATTTTTTCTCTTCCCCTTCTTACATATCGATTTGTCCCGTGCTACGAGCCCAGTGCGCACGTGTGCTACGATGAAATCTACCTTCTCTCTCTTTTTCTTTGTAATATTAATACAGGCAATAAATCGCATTGTCTTAGCGATTTGTCTGTTCATAATTTTCAAACGACAGATTTCACGAGCAGTTCTCAAGCGAGACGTGATGTATGAAAATAGAGAGAGAACCTTTAATTTATATTACTTATTAAATTTCTCATCGATCCTATATGATAAACTCTCCTCTCGCCCGTTCGATTAACTGTCTACGACGTAGTCTTTGTCCCCGTTCGCCGTGCCGTGATTTATGGAGGAGACGTATTGACAACGACACGACGACGTGTGTACATCGACCGAGAGATCTGTCAGTAAACCCAACGGTACATCAACGACTCTCGGAATCCCAAAAATGCTTGCGTTACGAAAAATATACGCGATTAAAAAAAATGTCAAGTATATTCTACCTGTAGAAACTTCTAATAATTAATTCAAGATGAAAAATGTTATAAATAAAATATTTAGCGCTTAGAATACAACTAAGATTAATTCGTCAAGAAAATTTCACTGGTCAGATGGTTTTCACCGAAAATTGAAGAATATCCACACACTGTCTGCGATTAAAATTAATTTGAAATAAGTGCGGGTACGAAAGAGAATGGGGTAGTAAATTAAAAACAATGGCTTGTTAACGCCCATCGTGTGCGATCGAGCGTCAACGTCGGTGAGAACGGCGCGATTAATTATATTGTGTGTACGACAGTATCGATGATGGTTCAATAGCGTCGGTTTTTCCCAAGAGCCAAGAGTTTCCAGCGATCTCGAAGAGAGCGGTCGTTCGATTTGACGCGCCACACATAGAATCATATTACGTGACAAAAAAACTATCAGTCTTCAAATTAGATTTGTAGAGCATACGCGTATTTTGAAAATTCTCAAAGTAAAAAATCACCACGCAGTTTTACTATTTTATTATTTTTAAATTATCAATCAACCGTCATACTTAAAAATTCACACAATGCTTTCTGTTCTATATGTTCGTCTTGTTCATTATTTTTCTCAACCTAATCATCCCTCGATCTTTTCGATTCGTCCGCATCTAGGTGGTCCTTTACGGACCACTTCTAATTTTTCACCGCGGGAAATTCACGGGGAGGAAACCCGGGGAGACGGCAGACAATGCGCGGTAGCGTGTTTCGAGTCATCGAAATCAGCCGACAGTCACACTAATTTCGTGGCTACAACTGAGGATATGGGAAAAGAACGCATCTTTTTCTCTCTCTTTCTCTCTCTTTACGGTTCCATTGTCATTCATGGAAGTAGGAAGTTTATTGTGTGCGACTGTGAACTTCGCCGGCGATATTTCGACGTGCTGACAATGTGCACCGGCTCGAGCTACCGAACGGCGCGCGCGATGGCTCTCTTCTTCCGCGGAAAAAAGGACGAAAGAAAAGATGTGGAAACGAGACGCGCGCTTTGAAAGACAGTTTCCAGCCGAGTCATTCCAATCACGAGCACGCGGAGAGCAACGCCGCCAATCGAGCGTCGTGATCATGCACGAATCAAATCGCCGCGCGTTGCGCGAGTGAGAATTAAACAATCTCGCAAAGTCGCGTCTCGCCTAGACGCGACTCGCGATTGTGAGGCGATTAACACTCGAGAAAGATGTTGTTTGCGAGAAGAAACAGTAAATATATTTTATATATTTATACCGGAAGATGCATTTTAGCGATGCGGTCACACAACCGCGGTCCATCTCTTTCGTTTTAACATCCACTACAACGCGGATTGTAAATGGGGAGAGAAAATTAGCTCGCGTCTATCGAATCAGAGATTGCTTTTGTAAAAAAATCGTAAGCAAAAAAGCGGAAGGATCGATATTAGATTTGATGGGGGACATTCACACTTCCTGTATCGCTTAATAACGGGCGGGATATGCGTCGATCTAACGAAGCGATCGAAAGACTGACACTTAAAGTCTTAATATTCAATGATCGACAATTAGACACCTGTTACTTGAGCGGCATATGGGGGTCGATCCTCCTGCTTTTTTCTGATACCCCTTTTTCTAACAATCTCATCTCATTCTAAAGCTCCCTTCCGTCCGCGACTCCTCCCACGCTTCCTTTCCTTCCTCCGTTTTCTTTGGAGAATCTTTGTGAAGATCCGGTGAGGATCTAACGTTCTCACACAACTACTCGCTCTTCATCCTGATTTTTTATTTGATACTTTTTGACATATACACACACATCTGAGAAAAGAACTTCTATAAAATCATTATCGATAAAAGCGTTCAAAGCAAAACTGAAACTTGTTTGTCTTAAAATCAAATTGTATAAATACCTACTCTTGGAATAAATCAACAAAAGTAGCAGATAAATCACTCAACTCGTCACCTAATCATTTAAATCATAGTTTCTACTTCGTCGTATCAGCGACGGTAAAAGCGGAGAGAAAAAGAAGAGCGTAAAATCTGAACGGCATAAAAATGGCGGGACAGAGAGACCGCCAGACGCGTCTCGCTTTGACTCGCGTGTAAAAATCATCGCGAGATATACGACGCCGTTGCCAGGATTGGAGCTAATTACCACCCAGAAGCGACGTCCGCGCGTATCCCGCGCGTAATAGTGAATCAGCACAGCGTTGCTCGACCTCCTATCGGCGACTATAGAAGCCTTTCGACCTCGGCATCGACCTCGGCGATTTATTCGCTCGTAACGAGATAAAAAGAGGGAACGGGAGAGGAAGGTGGAAGAGAGAGGCAGGTAATATTCATAGTCGATGCCGTTCATTTCATTATCGTCATCGTCATCGTCGTCGTCGTTGTCATTGTCGTGTGTCGTCTTCCGATGCTCGAGAAGAGCCATCGGCAGGTGCGTCACTCACGCCGTCTCATCGATTATCCGCAAATCGAATCTCGTATCTTTTCATTCCGTCTCTCCCATGGATAAAACGTTTGAAAGAAACGTTCGGTGGATCGGCGATTAGCGATAATCGCACTCCAAATGCTATTCGAAGTGATCGAATGCGAAATAAACTTACGTGATATATCGCACTTATCGTCGAATTAAATCCGAATAAACATTTAGAGTAGAAAAAGATGAGGAATAAACATACTGAACGAAATCAAAGATCTATTAAGATTTTGCTGCATAAAATGTTAAATTTTATTTCTCTAAAATTATCGAGACAAGAAAAAGTTCTTTTAGTTCACGCAACCAATCGTAAGATACGCCATAGTGCTAAGTGAGAAATCCAATACCTTCATCTTTGTGTTGTAAAATAATAGATCTGTAATGAATATTGCCTGTTCATTATTTTGCAATACTTTCCGCAAGCAATGTCTGACTGTGGACGCTATCTGTAATATACATTTATATAATTATGTAAACATAACGTGAACATTATTATAAACAAAGAAGTGTGTGAAAAGAAAAAATTGAATAAAATTGATTTCATAGTTTTTTCAATAATAATAAGTAGCAATTTAAAAAATATTTACTTTGATAGTAATCATTTTTTAGATGACATAGATATTTCCATTCCTGCATTGCTTTGTGACGCTGCCGTTATTTTAAACATTTTCGGAGGATTTGTGTCATCTTCGTCTTGTGCTAATGGTTGAGCCGCACGTCGCGCTACATGCGATTTCATCGCAGCATTTATTGCTCCTTTCATGTTATTACCATGGCTTGCCTGTTTTTTTAAATATACAAAGAGACAGAAAACTTAAAACGTAAATGAAATAAAATATTTAAATCGCATGTGTGATAAATTTCGGAATAAGTTAATTTCATAGTGCATTTATTTTTTGCGTTTTTATCCAACAAAATTGAATAAAAAATTTTGTGTAAGATTGAAACACACATCTGTCGAATCATTTGCAGTATTTTTATATGTATATAAATAATTGTTAGAGTCATATTATTTTTACTTACCGCTCGCATTACGACCATTCCATTGCTCATTTCTATATTGACAGATAACTGAAAGAATTACAAATGCAACTATACATATGTTCAAAAAGAATTAATATCAAATATGTATAAAAGAAGACGAGTGATGTGTATACATTAACGCACATACGCACAGTGTTATTTATAAAATATGTTTCCGCAAAATTGTGATATTCGAAATTTTTTCAAAAAAATCGAAATTACACATATTATATTATTATGTAATATTATTATGTAATATAAAACGTGTACACATACGTAAGTTTACACATCACTTGTTTTTGAAATTTCACGCAAATTCGATTTCTCACCACTGCCAGGCAAAGTAGCGCAATGATGATTGATTTGACCATTGTGTTTGATTTGATGCACATCATACACTGGTTGGATCAAGACAGTTTTTCGCTTTTATACAGATGTTATAATCGATGTGACACGCGCTACACATCACATCTTAAGATGTCCTTGCGTGAGAAAAAATAAACACGTCGATGTGTATCGTGACCAGGAAGTAATGTAATTTTGGTGATTATCACGCCTTTTTGTGCAATTTGCGACAGGGATTTGATGCACGAGTCATCAAAAATGGTGAATAGTGTAATTATAAAGTCTCGTTGTGCTGCAACAATCAGCGAAACATATGTTATTATCTGTATATTATTTTTTGTGACGCAATCGAATCATTAGTTCTTATCGTTTGCAATGTAGCACAATGCAACATTGCACTTCTCGATTATTATTTATGTCTACTCTGCGCTTCTCTATCGGAAGTACCTTTTGGGAATATTCTAGTGTAAAGTTTTCTTTAGGTTTTTATGGAAGTGGTTGACATATCATAATTTTACCGTTTTTGCTTATTTAAAACAAAGAAGACCGATTCTTAGGTCAGTATTTATAGTCCGATCTTTAAGATGTCATATCTTAAATTTATCTTAAGATGCTGCACAGATCGTTTTATTGGCTGTCAAAGCATTTCAAAGGATAAACAATGATCTTAAATGTAAGATCAGATTATATGAATATCAATTTTACTTTTTCCAATTGTGACTATAGTTGTGAGACTTAGAATAAAACAAAATATTGCACTTTGTAAAACTGGTTTAAAAAATATATTGCTTTTTACAAAACAATTTAATAGCAATAAAAATATTACTTAAAAAAACTATTGTGATAGTTATAATTCGAGTCATACACAGACATGTGATTGATATGTAAAATAAATTTTAAATCAATCGTTTTTTAATACTTTTCGATAAAACATAGTTTTAAAATCTCTTTCAGAGTACAGATATGTTATAAAAAAATAGAAGTTTGTTTTTAATCTACTATACCAAAATCATATACAGGAATCTTTCCTTTATTTTAGAATGTTCGTTTTCCTCAGACTAAACTCACTGAGTAAAAACCTTTTTGATGCTTTAAACGCCGCTCGAAATGAGCTAGAATGCTTGTGACATTTTGTTTATTAACTAATATTCTTGTTTTAATTCTCATCTCTTATTTTAGCATCAATATTTTACAAAAAAATTTTGTACACAAGTATACGATTAATTATATTTATAATTTTAATTGTTCCTGCTGCAAAAATCCACTAATTAAATTCAAGTTTAAGAAAGAAATGTATGTTTGCTGATTTTTAGTATCGTAAAATATAAAGATATCTCAAGTAAATATGCAGTCTTCAGTTACAAAAGTTTTAGAATAAGTTTTCAGTTACGTATAATAATAACTTTCTACATATTAATGGATATATATCAAAAAGCATATTTTAGTGAAAATTTCATGGTAAAGTCTTACATACTTAATTTCAATAAAAGCGAGTTTTGTTATGCAAAAAAATAATTTAAAGAGAGAAGTGTAACTATTTCATATATTTAATATATATATTTATATGTTCACAATATATGTATCCACAATAACATTCTGTACATACTGTAGAAAAGGAAAAGGAAATAAACACACGGGGTTGACTTAAATTAAAAAATAACAGTTTGCTGTGCGAAGTGCTAAAGTTTATTGCTCTATAATCATCGAGGTTTCTCTTTTAATTCGTGCATAAGATGTGCCATTTGTAAGTGAGAAATCCAATCAGCTGTACATATACTGTAAAATAATGTTGAATCGATATAATATCCGCATAGAAGAAGAAATTGATATGGATATCTTCGATCTATTATTTAGCAGCATAATCGACATCAGATTGACGATATCTGTAAAACAATTTTGTATAAGTACATAAAAAATACATAAAAACTTCTTCTATAAAGTAGGCAATCTTAAAGTAACCAATGAAAGTGATTTTATAGTTTTATATTGAGAGAGAGAATGGTAGCTAGAGTATTTTGAAAAATACAAACATATTTTGTGATTGCATTTATTTTTTTCCAGATCCTCCTCCCATTCCTGCTCCTCCTTCAATTCCAAATCCAAATCCAAAGCCTGCTTTAGCTCCTCCTCCTCCTGATGGACTATCTTGTGCTGAACGTCGTACCAAATTTCTCTCAGCACTTATTACACTTCTTAGCATGTTAGTATCTTGGATGGCTCTCTTTTTGAGATATGCACAAAAACTTAATATAAATATAAGTAAAATAAAACCTGTTTCTAAATAAATTTTATTCAAATGTCGTGAGCTAAATTTGAAAAGAAGTAAGTTTAAATTGCATAGATTTTAGGTACATTTACTTTTTAATTCTATTCGACAAAATTAAACAAAAAAGCGCATACATTTTCACATTTGTAAGATTAAAAATTTTATTACTTTAATACAGTTTTGTAATATTTTTAGATGTATAAATATGAGAGTATGCATGTAGTTATGAGTATATTATTTTTACTTGCCTTTTGCATTATGTTTATTGCATTGCCCACTGCTATATCAGCTAACTGACAGAATTACAAAAATTTTATATTATGTAATAATTATTATCTATGATTAATATAATTATTTTTGTAATAAAATATATAGTAATCAAAGTTAAATTTTTATATAATATAAACTGATTGATGTAATAAAACGCATCGTTATATTATCTAAATATATTATCTAAATAATATTTTCTATATAAATTTTTAAAGTAAGTTTTTTTAAAATAGTTCAAACGTCTAGTTAAATCTATGAGTTATTACGTAAAAAAACTATAAATTACTCTAATTTGTCTGATCTGTTAAATGTTTTCACAAAAAAATTATTATTTAAAAGAGTAAGTGGTTTTTGGATTTAAAAAAAGATATCGAATTTAGATAGCAACATATTAAAATTATTAAAATTTAAATATATTTAAAACAACTTGTACGCATATATATATATATATATATATATATATATATATATATATGTGTGTGTGTGTGTTTTACCATCAATTTTTTATGAAGTTGTAAATAAAATCGATTTCTTACCATTGCCAGGCACAGTAACGCGATGAAGATTGGCTTCATTGTGTTCGATGTGATGCACATCATACACTAGTTGCATTAGACAGTTTTTCGCTTTTATATAGACATTATAACGTGCATGACATGTTTTTTCTGCGCATCTATGTGCGGAAAAAACAAGCTAACGTGTTTCGTAATCAGGAAATATTGCGATTTTTGATGATTATCGCACCTTTTGCGCAATCTGCGACAGGATTAGATGCACAAATGTCAAACACAAAAAGTAGTGTAATTATAAAATTTTGCAGTGTTGTAACAATCTATATACTTTATTATTTGTATATAGCTACACAGAAACAACGAAGTTGCTTCAATTAAAGTTGACGTCACAAATTGCCACAAAAATAAAAAGTTTATTCAATTGCATATGCGATTAATTTAACATTTAGAATTCTAAAAAAATTATCTGCTGTATGTAGCGTAATATTAATGTTGCATAAATAGAATATATTTTATATAATTCAACTGAGTTATTTAACATCATTTTTTCCGTGTAGATTGTTTCTTTCTTGCGATAAAATTAAATTGTTAGTTCTTATTGCTTGCAATTTGACACAAAGTACGGTGAACTTCATAGTCATTATTTATGTCTTTTCTGCCCTTCTCTGTCGGAATGTTTGTGGAAGTATTCTAGTTTAGAGTTTGTAAAACTTATTTGTGGAAAGTTTTCAAAACTAAACAATTACACGTAGATACAAATAAATGAGAATACCTATTGTGATCGAAATTTCGAATCAAAATTAAACCTTTTTTTATTTATTATTTCTTTATTTATTACATTCAATATCAGTCACATACTGTCGAATAAACCCGCGACATTCTTAATTATGACTTCATACGCCGAGAAAAGAAAACAGTCTATAACCTAAGGTTTTTTTCTTTATTGTAAGATATGATAGGAATATATATAAAATATGTAGAATATAAAGTTATCAGAGATCAGTTAAGCGTAATAAAAAGTAAATATTATTTCAATATTTTAACTTAAAAATTGATTTTTTTGAAAATTTATATTTATATAAATATTATTTTTCCGTAGAAAGAAAAAGAAGAGGAAGAGAATAAAAAGAGAGAAATAGAAAGAAAAACACATCTTCTCTCTCTTATAGTAAGAATTTTACTAGACTCTTGTAATAAACATTAATCACAATAGCAAGGTTTGATATTTGGAAAGTTGTTTTAAAGATAGAATTGTAATTATATTCTTCTAGATGTACGATGGTTCTATATTTTAGAATAAGAAAAGATAGGAATACAGGAACATATTGAATTGAATAACACGGTTTTGCTGTGCAAAGTGCTAAGATTTTTATTGCTCCAAAATCATCGGGGTTTTCTTTGTGCATCTACTTCAGTAAGACGTGCTAAGTGAAATCCAATAACTTTCATCTGTGCTGTAAATAATGAATCTTTACAATATTAGGAAATCTGCGTGAATGTTGTCAGCATTATTCCGCAACGCGTGCGATATCTGTCCGGTGACATCTGCAAAATAAATTTATATAAGTATATCGAAACAAATAACGCAAACTTGTTTTTACAAAGAACTTTGAAGAAAATTGCTTCATATTGTTTTGGAGAATAATATTACCAATTTGAAAAATATTTACTTTAAGGTAGTCATCATTTTCCTTATTTTCCTCTTCCCATTTCTCCCATTCCTCCCATGCTTCCTCCCATGCTTCCTCCGAAGCCTCCTCCCATACCTGCGCCTCCTCCCGGCATTTGTGCTACTGGGTTTGCTGAACGTCGCACTAAATGCGCACTTTTCGCAGTATTTACTATACTCTTCATGTCAGCTTTCTTTTTGAATATGCATAAACACAAAAAAACTTAATATAGATATAAGCAAAATAAAACACATTTATAAACAAATTTAAATCAAATATAATAAGCGATACGTTTTGAAAGTTTGAGTTACATAAATGCTATGTCTATTTATTTTTTTATTTATTTTTTATTGTGTCCTATTTGACAACATTAAACGGAAATTCTTATATATCCTTGCACAAGATAAAAAATCAAAAATGTTGGCAAAAAATTAATGCAGGTTTGAAAAGTGCAGTATACATTAATGGTTCAATATATCTAATGTTTTTACTTACGCCTGGCATACTATTGGGTGTTGCCATACTGACTGATAACTGAAAAAATTTACATCATTTTTAACTATAATGTACTCTAAATATACGTATGTAGAATTAAAAAAACTAAAAGTAAATTTACATACCATCTATTAAAAAAAGCAAGTAATGTGTATTCACAGTAAAAAAGAAAATGTTAATTTTAACGTTTTTTTTACATATTCCAGAAAGTCTACTCTAAATTTTAAGGTAAACTAACTCATTTGTCATGTGTTACTTATTAACAAACTAATACTATGAATTAAGTGACACAATATATTTATATTTATTATTTTAACTTTAACTGTGTTGTAAAAATAAAATAATTAAAACCTACATAAAAGAGTAGAGTTATAACTCGTAAGAAATGTGAACTTCAAAAGAACATTTACTTTGGATGTTAAATTAATATTGATTTTTTTAGAACAAATCTCAAAACAATTAGTTTTGTGAGTCACTATATAGAAAATCATCAATTATTGTATTGTTCAATTTGTGTATATTATTGCGTTTTTATAGAAAGAAAATAAAACGTTTTTTGAATATTTTTAACAATATCAATTTTATTCAAACACATTACTTGAAATATATATTCTGTAAACTTGTATGCGTGTACTTGTATACATTATGGTATTACTTTTTCTCTAGAATTGATCAATAAAATTGTAAATAAAATCGATTTCTTACCACTGCCAAGCAGAGTAGCGCAATGAAGATTGGCTTGATCATTGTGTCTGATTTGATGCACATCATACACTGGTTAGATCACGCGGTTTTTCACTTTTATATGGATAATCTGCGCGACACGTGACGTGTCCGTGCGCGGAAAAAACAAATTGAAACGCATTGTGGCCAGGAAATAAAGTGAGCTTTGATTATTACATCTTTTGCGAGCAATTTTGCAAAAAGATGTGACACATAAGACTCGTCAGTAGATATTAGTATAATTATCAAGTCTTGTGTCGCTCTGCAACAATTTCTATACATAATTTGTTACGATAAAATCGATCGTCATTTTTTATCGCGCGCAATTTGACAATGTGAAATTTTTTTAGTATCAATCATTACGCATGTTTATTAGAAACACTGATTTGATCATTTTTTTCTGTAAGATTTATATGTATCATTATGTGCGTGCAACGTTCTTTAATTTTTTTCTAATAATGTTGATAAATATCATTTCATTGATAATTACAAACTTTGTCTCAAGTTTGACAGTTTTTGCAAACATTTTCAGTTGCATCGCAAGTTTTTCCACGTTGTTATTATAGATATCTGTGTTTGACATCTTATCTTTTAATCGTTATTACAATGCACGCATTAGTTATGATATAACATAAGAAACGCAAGGTCTTGCAAACAACGTGTTATAACCAGCATTGTGTTTTGTCTGTGATATAAGCAAGACGACGTAAATATCAACAAGATTAGAGTAATTAAAACTTATGCTCGCTATTTAGTGACGTTGTATATAGGAACGCATAATGGTGTTTAATGCATTTATAAATTAAATTCTACTACGCGCGACGTTTTAAAGACGCGTCGCTCATATGGTCTGCTAATAAAACAAGCTTATTATCAAGCAAAACCTGTTGTTTTACAAAGTAGTTTACGAATAAATTTACATAAATCTTAATATTTCTTGAAATGAAAATTTCATGTTTCTTTTGCTATTTCGATGTAAGCCGAATTCGGATGTAAACTTCAAGTTCGAGGGAGAATCGATAATTTGTAATGTTTTTTATTTGCAATCCCCCTCGCCCTCGACTACATTTACAACAGCGTAATTAATTCGTTCCCGGAGATAGTAAAAGCGACAGGTGTGACACCTGCCTGCGACGTAGCACTACCGTTACCCAGCTCGAGATGAGCGAACATTTACATCTTACGGAGACCGTTTTGCGAAAGGAGGCCCTCGGAATGATGACCGCCGCGGAGAGATAGCGCGAATAAAGCCGTCAAAAGAGCGCGCGTATAACAAAACCTAGAG